CCAAAACAAACTTTTAGACCAATTTCAAGGATACTTGGATCAAAACAGTAGCAACTAGAGTGTTAACAAGATTTTTCTATTTTTAGCTCCGGTGACCTAGTTCCACATGCGATTTCGAACTCATCCAAGCAATTACCTATACAAGCATCCTGACCAAGTTTGATGATAACTGAGTCGAAAATGTGACCACTAGAATGTTAACAAGGTTTTTCCATATTTGGGCGGTGTGACCTAGTTTTTTTCATCCAAGATGACCAATGTACGAACTTGACTTAGAAATCATCAAAACAAACTTTCAGACCAATTAACAGAATATTTGGATCACAACAGTAGCCACTAGAGTGTTAACAAGATTTTTCTATTTTTAGCTCCAGTGACCTACTTTTTCATCCGAGATGACCCATGTTCAATTTCTTCCCAGCAATGACCTAGACAAGTTTCCTGACCAAGTTTGATGACAATTGAGTCAAATTGTGACCACTAGAGTGTTAACAAGGTTTTTCTATTTTTAGCTCCTGTGACCTAGTTTTTCATCCGAGATGACCCATGTTCGAACTCATCCGAGCTATCACCTAGACAAGCATCTTGATCAAGTTTGATGATGATTGATGCAAAAATGTGACCACTAGAGTGTTAACAAGGTTTTTCTATTTTTAGCTCCGGTGACCTACTTTTTCATCCGAGATGACCCATGTTCACACTCATCCGAGCTATCAACTAGATAAGCATCCTGACCAAGTTTGATGATGATTGATGCAAAAATGTGACCCCTAGAGTGTTAACAAGGTTTTTCTATTTTTAGCTCCGGTGACCTACTTTTTCACCTGAGATGACCCATGTTCGAACTCATCCGAGCTATCACCTAGACAAGCATCTTGACCAAGTTTGATGATGATTGATGCAAAAATGTGACCGCTAGAGTGTTAACAAGGTTTTTCTATTTTTAGCTCCGGTGACCTACTTTTTCATCCGAGATGACCCATGTTCGAACTCATCCGAGCTATCAACTAGATAAGCATCCTGACCAAGTTTGATGATGATTGATGCAAAAATGTGACCGCTAGAGTGTTAACAAGGTTTTTCTATTTTTAGCTCCGGTGACCTACTTTTTCATCCGAGATGACCCATGTTCGAACTCATCCGAGCTATCACCTAGACAAGCATCTTGACCAAGTTTGATGATGATTGATGCAAAAATGTGACCGCTAGAATGTTAACAAGGTTTTTCTATTTTTAGCTCCGGTGACCTACTTTTTCATCCGAGATGACCCATGTTCGAACTCATCCCAGCTATCACCTAGACAAACATCCTGACCAAGTTTGATGATGATTGAGGCAAAAATGTGACCTCTAGAGTGTTAACAAGGTTTTTCTATTTTTAGCTCTTGTGACCTAGTTTTTCATCTGAGATGACCCATGTTCGAACTCATCCGAGCTATCAACTAGATAAGCATCCTGACCAAGTTTGATGATGATTGAGGCAAAAATGTGACCGCTAGAGTGTTAACAACTAAATGTGAACGGACGACGGACGGACGGACGGACGACGGACGACGGACAATCATCGATCCTAAAAGCTCACCCTGAGCATGCTCAGGTGAGCTAATTAAGCCTGAGCATGTTGTTGCAAGGGCAATGGTCCAATCAACATTTGTGCCAAGTTTGATTAGTGTTGAAGCAGTTTTTATAGTATTATAGCAATTTGAACTTGTAACGGGAGACTTTTCAATGAAAACAGCCATTTTTCACAAAATGCTGATGAAGTAATGAGTTAAGTAAGGTATTTACAACGCAATCTTTAAATCAGTCTCTGTAAGAGGATGAACCTCATTATGATTATGTTAATTTAAACTTACTGAGAATTCTTGATCCACAAGTGAAAGATCATTCTGGATCGGCCTTATGTAACACACTGCCTGTCCAAGGTTACTGAAATTTGACAGAAAGTTAACAGTATAGCCACCTGGTGGCACAATGATCACTTCTAAGTCGCATCTACTTCTGGCCTGTGTTCTAAGTAGTTCAAAACCACCAATGCCATCCAATTTGGGATAATGCTCCTCAATGCGACATTTAAAGTAGCCTGCATCATCATTTTTTTCAAAAGATATCTTCTTTTCCCCCAAATTTGCCTTGTACAGTCTATCTTTTTCTTCTCTGGTAGGAGCCATAGTCTAAAAAATCAGAAAAGGGTAATCTATCAACTTCAATCCTAAGGCTTCTATCACTACATTATAATTTATTGATTTTTACTGTAAATTATATCATATAAAAATTTAAGTGAATGCATGGGTAAACTTAAATTCATTTACTCAAAACAACCAACCAAATCTAGTTATCTCAACATTGATATATATATACATGATAACATGTACTGGTCGGAGACCATCAACCGGACATTTTTGGAACATTTTTCCGTACAGATTTCATAATTTTTAACCTAGAGACCAAAAAATTTGACACAGTTCAGCTAGGTTCTTCTCCTAAATAACAAACTAGTTTGTTTATTTCTGATTTTATTGACACTTATATCTGAGGCTCGACAAGGAGGGTATCAAAATTACCTAAATTGTCTACACTACAGTACCATGTGTCCGGACAGATATGTACATGACGTGATTTAATTCAGATAAAAGCTTGGGTGTTTTGATTTTTGATTTTTAACATGATATACAATATGTCAGCAACAAATGCTGAAGTTTTGGATATTCTATTATTCACTCTGCAAATGATTATAGCTGGTATATGAGGTCAGGCATTGCTTTCTTGATCCCCAAATTTCAACGTCAACATTTTTGAAATAGACATGAAAATATTACTATTTACGGAGGTTGAAATAAATTTATTTACTTAATTTTAAAATAAACATGCACTTATTGTTGATAAAAAAGTGACTGACAACCACTGAACAAAGAACATACTAAATTAAGCATTTTCGGGGCCGTCCGGGTTTGGTGGTTGTCCGGTTTTGGTGGTCCCCAACCAATATATCAATACATATACCTGATTTTATTAACTTATATCATAGTCATGCGAATGATGAGTTGTGTTTTTATGGCTCCAGTGCATAGTTTTCAAACATTTTTATTAAGTTAAAATACCCTTCCAAACTACTCAAAATATTAAAATTTCTTAACATTTGAAACTTTACCATTAGTCTATTATTCAAGTTTGTTTTTGGACGTTGAAAGCACTTTTTTAGACTATAGTTGGAACTCGTTTTATCCACTCCTACTCATAACTCCCCGATTTCAATGAAAAAAGTGTGTTTCTGTCCAATTATGCAGTTTTTTCTTTTTACAATTTGAAAATGATGCTCACATATACACCCGAGCTTTAAGGTTATGTAGAGCCAAAAATGTCAGACTTGATAAATGTTAAATATTATTCAATCATGGACCGACAGAATCAGCCAGTCATTTTCATGTGAGCAATCCGTTGCCCTCATGGGCTTTCTTGTTGATACAAACAACAAATTTACTAATTTAATGTAAAAAAATGAAATTTACGTCAGTTGTTCTTCCAAGGACACAGAATCTGTGGGTCCAGAATGCACGTGACGGTGTACGAGCTGGAGCACTTGAACGCCTTCTAATCGAACTGTGGGTTGGATATGGAGAAAAAATGTCCCTTACTGCTGCCAATGTCCTTGTCCTTGATTGGCTTGAAGCGGTACTAGATGAAGCATCATCACTGGTTGATGTATGAGTTGACTCCAGGGCAGCAGCTGCCTGTCTTAAAAGCTCTAAAGCTCTTTGTTGACTCATCTGTTTAAAATATTTATTTAAGAAATAGATCATAACTGTGTGTGTTCAACTTCTATAGTTTCACAAGCATGATTTTGAATTCATGCACATTTATCTGAATGCACATGTCACAGATCTGAGTCATAAATTAAAATGCATAATAACAAAAATTGTGATAAATTAAACAGTAAAGCATGCACAATTAGGATGTATTCCTTGTGATAAAGGGGAGCAATATCTTAATGTTATTTTATTGCATAGTTACACAAGTTACTTAATTAACTTTTTGCTGCTGATATAGCAACAGTTGGAAACTGGTCAACTTGTACCTCAGTCAACTCGTACCTTAGTCTTTTAGTACCAGTACCCAAGTCAACTCGTACCATAGTATTTTTTTTTCATATTTTTTCTGAGATTCTTATCAATATCAGTATATAAGCTGCCATGTGCCAACACAATCAAACAAATTAAATCAGCCTTTGATAAAGATATATATTTCAATTTTTCACACTAGAACTAATTGCGTTATCTAAGTATCAGTAATCACGTTACCCAAGTATCAGTCATTAAAGGCTCCTAATTCTAATACAATATCAAGGTTTTTTCTCAGCTAAATTCATGACCGATTTGGGTAAAGTTCCCAAATGAAAATAGTACCTTTTTTTTACAATTCACAGCCAAAAATTCCCAACTGAAACATCAATAAATAAAATTTAAAAATATTGTATAAACATGTATCTTGATGCTTTACTGTGATAAACCTGCAATGATTAAATGTCCTTATCATAGACAGTTATTCTATGATTTCTATGGTGTGAGTTGACTTAAGTACGAGTTGACCAGAAAGTCAACAGTTGCTGTTTGATATGTTAAGATTATTGATTTGAAAGTGACAGACCTTTCCGCAATATTAAAGATTGTAATACCAAACCATCATATAGCTGCTTGATTTTTAATATATGCTTTTTTTGTAAATTATGAAACTGATGTATATATAGCTAAAGCGAAACCGAAAGTAGCTGCAAATTTTCTGTCAATTGCCAGGTTCATCTACTTTGTTGAAAATAATTTACTATCGTTTGAACATTGGATACATCGGTAATAAATTGTGAGTAATGCTATGCGTCTAGCTCCCTTACACTTTCCCCACATATAAGGCTATTAGTGAAAGTTATTTAAAATAACTTGAAATCTGTAATGCGTTCCGAAAGCTGTACAGTACAGTACGTATAGATGGATACCGAAAATAAGCTATTTTCGCGAAAATAAGATCGCAGCAACGAAAATAAGATTTATGCTTAACCGTATAATGTCTTTAAAACACTGGACACAATCAGCTGATCGAATTTTTGGAAATGTTTATTTTAATTGATTGACAATGACGATATACACACCTCGTGTTGATCCAGATCTTTTTGAAGAGGAAGTTTTCACATCCACACCGCAAGGGAGAAGTTGTTTAAAAAAGACGCCCTCTGTCTGCAGAATACGTTCAGTTGAAGTTGGTTCCCAGCTTCGTATTATGACAACGTCATATTTTTAATGAATTTGATGTTGTTAGCTTTTCAACGGACGAATGATGCTTTGGTCGTTTTTATTAAATGTTCAGTAGTTTGTTTCAAATATTTAAACAAAACCTTTAGATTAATACCGAATAAACAGTTGAACATTCTACGCTTTTCATTGTGGAGTGTAAAGTATATTTAAAAGAATGAAGTACTTTTATTCATAATCTAAAAACATATACATTTTCATAATTATACTTAACAAAAAGCACCAAAGTATCTCAAAATGCCGTTTTAATTATTGACTTCAAAATAAAGCAATAATTTCAGCAGTAATAAAACAACAGTAATTCAAATATTGTAAAAGTAAAATAAACATTGGATTGCCATAAAGCATAATGCGTGAACTGGCGGATATCCCCTTCCATAATATACCTTTGAAGTGTTTGCATTTTTATTTGTATTCTGATTCGTTTTATTTTGGTGTCCTGTTATTATTTATTAAAAGGTTCTTATTGGTAAATTTCCTAAACAATCTTTTACTTTTTTGGCAATAAATGAACACATAGTGATTAAGTATTTTGTAGGGAAGACAAAATACTACTTTGTATACATTTTACTGCTTTAAAAAAAAAACAAATAATTTTACTTTCCGCTCTAAATTCTTCAGGTCAGAAGAATTCAACATGACTCTAACATCATAAAATAAATTATTTAAAATCGCTATAAAATAAAGTTTGCTGTTATTTATGAAGATATTTTTTTTCAATTCTCAGACGTAAGGTTAAAGGTCATTAAACAATTCAGAGCCTAATTAGACCGTACATATGTGAATGCTTGTCTGACAAATGATACTAAGTTTTACTTATACATGTATCTAAGTAAGAGTTAAAATATATTAATTCTCACCTTATAAATAGATTAGATATGATCAATTGCGTAAGAACAAATCCAGGAGTAATCATGAAGAATATCATTACTAAGGCAAGCAGAGTTATATCGCCTGTCAGCCCTGGAAATTGTCGATAAACAAGCGTGTTCTGTAGAATACGTTCATATAATGGGGCTCTTATTTTATGAAAAAGAAAACTACATTAAAACGTTCCTGGTTTCAATATCAGAGTCGGATATTCTATTTTTTGATAGATAGAAGACTATTCTGTCGATTCGTCGATTTGTCGAGTATAGAGATCATCCTTATCATCACCTTCATCATCATCATCATCCTCAACACCAACATCATCGTAATCATCACTAAAAGACATATGGGCCGCGTCACGACAAAACCAACGTAATGGGTTTGCGACCAGCATGGATCCAGACCAGCCTGCGCATCCGCACAGTCTGATCCGGATCCATGATGTTCGCTATCAGTTTCTCTTCTTGTTGTAGAGTTTGTAAGCGAACAGCATGGATCCTGATCAGACTGCGTGGAAGTAAGGGAAATAACTTATGTAAGTTTACATAACAAATATTTTAGCATTTACTTCCCCTCAATAATTCATGATCAATAATTATAAGTATGATAAATGAAATACATAAACTGATTTTCTACGTTTTTTAAGGTGGCACAAAGGTGACATGTGTGTATTTTTATCTCGTGGCCACGATATACTATGTTGTGACCACGAGTTACTAAGTCGTGGCCACGAGATAGCTAAGTCGTGTCCACGAGATACTATGTCGTGGCCACGAGTTACTAAGTCGTGGCCACGAGATACCTAAGTCGTAGCCACGAGATTTGTTACCTTGGTAAGAAAGATCATTGCACCTGATCAGTAGATGACATCTTATGATTTCGAGGTCATTGGGTAAAAAATCAGGGTCACAGTGACGCTAAATGTAAAATAATTTACCAGTCAATAAGTTGTTTAAATGGCACTTTTACAGGCTGGTCAAATAAGGGCATCCTTGTACTATAGAACTTGTCTAGTTAATGATGGAAATTCATATAAATGGTGTAATCTGATTGGTTATTTATCTCTTGGCAACGACTTAGTAACTTGTGGCCACGACATAACTATCGCGTTTCCAGGACTTTGTAACTCGTGGCCACGACATAATATCTCGTGGCTACGACTTAGCTATCTCGTGGCGACAACTTTGTCACTCGTGGCCACGACATAGTATCTCGTGGCCACGAGATAAATAAAAACACACACATGTCACCTTTGTGCCACCGTTGTTTTTATATACAAAAAAACACAACAGACAAATAAACGAAACAAAAAAAACTAAATTACAACAAAACTAGAATCATATGAATATTTTAGTCAAATCAGTTCATCTTGGTATTTATATTTTGATATGCATTGGAAAACAGACACAACTTTATGTTTCATTTGAGGAGAAATTCGTCTTCAATATCATTCATATATTAACAAAAAGTGCACTTTCGTCCATTCCTTGTTCCTAACTTGATATAAAATATATAACTAATCAAGGGCCATAACTCTGAGTTAAAGTGTCTGACCGGAACAAGCCGACGATATGCGCCTCTCCTCTTGGTATTGAAGGTTCCCATAAAGTTTCGTTGAATTCCAGCCAGTAGTTGCAGAGAAGTAGTGCGGAAATGATATTTACTCTATATGCATACTTCATAACTAATCAAGGGCCATAACTCTGAGTTAAAATGTCTGACCGGAACAAGCCGACGATATGCGCATCTCCTCTGGATATTGATGATTCCCATAAAGTTTCGTTGAATTCCAGCCAGTAGTTGCAGAGAGCTACTCCGGAAACGATTTTTACTCCATATGCATATTGCATAACTAATCAAGGGCCATAACTCTGAGTTAAAGTGTCTAACCCAAACAAGACGACGATATGCGCATCTCCTCTTGATATTGAAGGTTCCCATAAAGTTTCGTTGAATTCCAGTCAGTAGTTGCAGAGAAGTAGCGCAGAAACGATTTCTACTAAGGGCCATAACCATGAGTTTAAGTGTCTGACCTGAACAGGCCGACGATATGCGCATCTCCTCTTGATATTGATGATTCCCATAAAGTTTCGTTGAATTCCAGCCAGTAGTTGCAGAGAAGTAGTGCGGAAATGATTTTTACTATATATGCATACTACGTAATTAATCAAGGGCCATTACTCTGAGTTAAAGGATAGGACCGGAACAAGCCGACCATATACGCATCTCCTCTTGATAATGATGATTCCCATAAAGTTTCGTTGAATTCCAGCAGTAGAGGCAGAGAACTACTCCGGAAACGAAATTTGGACGGACGGATGGACGGACGGACGGACAACGCCAAAACTATATCCCCCTCCCGATTCCATCGGCGAGGGATAACTAATATCAATCTGACTAAAGTTCAGATCTACCTATTTCTTTCGTGTAGATCTGATGACGACCGCACATGTTTGGTCTTCTTTATCACTCGGTTTTCCCGAGAAAGTTTTTTAAACCAATTTTATACATAGGCATTAGAAAAGTATAAAAAAAATACCGTTATCCGTGGAGGTTTACCAAATTGTCAATTTTTGTTAGAAAAAAAAGTTTGAAGTAATTTTTTACAAATTAACTTAGAATAATAGAGTCCGTTTTTAACGGCAAGCTTGTTTTGCTGGTTTACCTGTCGGCTATATGGACAACGCCATGTTTGTTCTCTCGAAATCGTGAAAATTACCTTCTCAGCATTGTTTCTTTCAAGGGTTAAAATTAGAAACCACATCGCTTTCAAAATTATGAAAGCTCGCCGATAATAAGCTGTGTGAAAAATCACCAGATATGTTCGAATTTTAGGATATGTTGCCTGCTTTTTAAATTTGTCTTTTGACGTCTTATCTGTGATATGCAGGCTTCATAACCTGATCCCCTTTCAAAATTCCAATTTATTTAGCTCCGCCCATTGTTTTCTCGTTTAGGGCAAAGCATTCTTTTACTTGGGGACCATACGCCGCTTTTCATGGAATGACACTCCTGTGTCACATTGAAGGTTCCATGATAACCGCCGTATGAACACATCTACGGATGTTTCTAAATTCAAAATTTCACCATTTTCGTGTTAAATGTTGAATTTTGGTTAAAGGGACTCCACTGAGGTTTTTTTGACATGACGGGACTGGAAATATTTTTTTGAGATTATTACTCCATCTGATGTAGGTCTATACCAACAACTTATGTGCAAAATTTCAGATCATTAGCTCGCTTCGTTTTTCCAGAATAATTGTTTTAATTGTCAAAAATGACCTAAAATTGAAAAGCGTTTAAACGCTTTTCACTCAAATCGGACTGAGAATAACACAAACATACGATTTTCAGTGTAT